GTTATCTATTGAAGTAACATAATTCATTCCGTCTTGATGACTACATGACGAGCATTTTTGTTGCTGTCAAAAGAAAACACTTTGTATTCGATGATTGTCAATGATTTGCAATGATTTATTTGATTCCAATCAGCTTTTCCCCCCTTGCCTTTATTACCTATTCACTTGCCACCCCAACATGCAATCGTGATTAAGTATGTTCCAAATGATCATTCCTTCGTGGATATCGAAGAAGATCTTAAATCAAAATACTCATCAATATATCATATTGAAGAGATGAACGGGACTAAAAGAACCCATAGTAGACATATTCGAATGGATATATACGATAAAGTGGAATACAACAATATCTTAAATAGCGGTGTTATTGCATTAGGTGGATTGTTATGCGAAATTGACGAATATTTACCAGCACCGAAAATTTTAATTTGTACAAAATGTAATTGTCCAGGTCATACAAGAAAATCTTGTCGATTACATTATGAAAGATGTAGAAGGTGTGGAAATAATCGAAGTAATGGGGATCACAAGGAATGCGATACTACATGCCATCACTGCGGTGGTGAGCATCAAGCAAATGATTATAAATGCCCTATCTTACTTCAATTTCGACGTGATCTTATTCAACAATTAAGAGAAAATCCTAATCGACTTCCTTCTCATATTCAGATGTTTATTCCACAGGATTGTAGAACATAAAAGTCTGAAAAAAGTTTAACAAATCAAAACACAAAAGATAATTAAAAGATCCAACAAAATTTTACTTATTCCAACTCGACAAGCAATTGGCCATATTTAAAAAACTTATCAAATACTTATAGCCGTAATATACAATTAAAAGAATTACAGACTGAACTTGATTCATTAAAACTGAAATATCAATTAGAAACCGAAAAAATTAATAACAAATCTCAACACCTTTCTAACAATATACAAAAAACATGCTTATTGCTGCAAACACAGATCAATACGCAAAAAGAAATGATTGATACAACGACAACAGTTATAAAGGATTTAGCATTTAATGTGAATACGAATGTAGTAAATATTTTAAATAATTTTATTCAATTAATTAGTGAAATTGCACCTAATGTTAAAGCAAAGAACAAATTAAATATGCGGCATGATCAGTTAAAGATCCAGAAACAACTAATAAGTGAAAAACAAATATCTTTTAACAACCACATAGATACTCTTAATAAGCTATGGCTCAAGCAATCTAACAATATTGTTGAATTACTCGATCTATATTTACCTGCTAACAATAATGATCAATAACGATTTCAAGTTTTCTCCGACGCAAGTGAACTTTGATTGTATAAATAAGTTTGAAGGAACGCAGAAAGATAGAAAAATGCTGGGGGAGATGATAAAGGAATGGAATGAGCGTTTATGCATAACACAGTTATGTGAGAAATGGTATAAGGAAAGACCCGTACACAAAATTGAAAATATACTTTTCGTCCTATATAATTGCGAATGCTTAAGCACACATTTATCTGATATTGATCTGATCTTAAACGAATTTACTCCTCAAATAATTATTCTGACCGGAGTTCGTTTGTTAATTCATGCACTACCTTTTATTCCTCAATACTACTGGCATAGCCAGCAAGGCACGAATAGTTTTGGAGGAGTTGCTATGTTAATTCATAATTCGTTGAAGTCGAAACTGATTGATAAAAGAGATAATTTTCTTTTAGTAGAAATGGAAGTTGCCCATACAGATATATTACTAGGAGCAATATACGTTCCACCCCAAACTTTGCCTCCAATTGAATTATTTAAAGTTTTTAAAGGCAAAGAATTCTTTTTGTTTGGAGCAGCTAACACTAGTGGAGTTGCGATAAGCAATTGGATTAAAGAATCAGGATTTGAAGGTATTTTTCCATCAACAGCTATATCAAAAAGATCGGACGCTGTGATCGATTTCGCGGTAGGACATTCAGCAGAAGATTGGACCACAGAGGTAGTTGATATAGGTACTTCCGATCATTGTCAAATTTTATATTCATCTCCATTTTTAACCGAAAAACACGTTGATTTTAGAAAAACAAACTGGACCATCTTTACTTTTTTCCTCAAATGTGTATTTCAATATTGGAACGCATTTGTTTACAATATAGATGAACCAGCATTTTTTATTCTTTTTTCAAAATTTCTTAAAGTGTTATGGGATCGGGTTAGTACTTACGAAACAGTTCTTAAATATCGGCCACCTTGGCCTCCATATTTAGTGTCATTAGCTAAACAAGTCAATAGTATGAGACGTAAATATCGTAAGACACATTTTCTAGTCTATTTATACCAATATAAAGAACTAAGATATCAATATCGTCTTGTCAAAAGAACAATTGAAGGTGAAAGACGTTTAGAAAATCTAAACGATAGACAAAATATATGGACAATAGTAAAACCGACATTTCGTCCATACCTTCCGTCGTTCAGAGGATTAAAAAGTAAGGATAATGAAATTATAAGAGATAGTAACAAAATAGTTGACCAATTAGTCGAATACTTTGCGAAACACTTTTCGAAACCGATTCATGACGCAGAAAATAAGAAACATACTGAATATTTAGAAACGTATGAATATATAGCTAATCTACCAAAACTATCAATAGAACCGATTGGAATTGAGGAAGTTTACAAGCAATGGCTTAGAATGTCAGCAAAAAAATCGACTGACATCCTTGGGATTTCAGCGTTCTTATTAAAAAGCCTCCCCGTCGAATATATGAGCGTAATCACTGTACTGTTTAATAAATGTGCCACACAAGGCGAGTTTGTAGAAGCGGGCAAGATAGCAAAGGTTATCTGTATATCGAAGGACGGTATATATCCATCCGAAGATCGTCTACGTCCCATATCGTTACTACCGAACTTAAGTAAGCTATTTGAGCGCTGTATACATTCGAAGATTCTAAAGTGGTGCGAAGCTAAGGGCATTTGTATTGAGGAGCAGTCGGGCTTTACACCGAAGAGAAGACTACAAACGCGTATTCTCACGATTTGTGAAGATATTCGTTTAACAATCTCAGCTCCAAACACACCCGAACTCGGAATATTTGTCGATTTCCAAACTGCTTTTGATAAGATGTGCCATCCCGCATTAATAACTAATTTACTGAAACTAGATATGCCTGTGAATCTGATAAGATATATATATGAATGGTTAAGAAATAGATCTACGCATATACAGTACGGAGAAACTTTATCACGAAAAATAGACATAAATGTGGGCACCCCGCAAGGTTCATTGTTCGCTGCAACCTTATTTAGGCTGCATATACATTTTTTACCAAAAATGTTCATGCGTTTCAATACTCATTTATTTGCAGATGATTTAGCAATCTTGACAAAAGGTTCAATCGAAAACAAACTTACGAAAAATATTATACATTTAGAGGAGCATGCAAAAATTGCCATGACAGCTTTAGAAGAATATTCTAAAGATATTCTCTTACCAGTCAATGTCGATAAAACGAAAATCATGTTGTATATTTAGGGATTGAGATAAGAACTAAATTGGGTTGGGGTACTTATATACATGCACGAATAATAAAAATAAAAAATATCTACTCCGGACTTCGCAAACTCTATCGCAATATCCCTAAAAAGATATTCAAACACAACGATCACTATTTCTTACTTACGCATTACCTCATTATATATGGCAATTCATTCTATGGTTTTTTTTACGGAAAATCAGAAAAGAGAAATTGAACACATTTATACAACTGGTATCAAATGAGTATATTCATTATGAGGTTGGGAAGATCACACCACACTTATACTAGCTAAAGAAAAAGCTTTAGCTGAGTATGTCTACAATTATTGGATGAAACTAAAGAATCATCTTGATACATCAAGTGGGGCTAATGCTTTTAATGAACCATTCGAGTCATATATGATAATTACCTCCCCGAATCATTACGATCTATACTATAAAAGTATGGGATTTAGAAGAAATAGTGGGTTCCCCGAAAGATTGAGGAAACGTGTTACACATATATATGAATCTATTTAATTTTCTTATTGTTCATCAGAAACAACTAAACTATTATTGTAACTCATCTAATGAATTAAGAGATTTTATTTGCAAATATCTATTTCCCCCATAAGGATTATAGATATCTAAATATTGTCTTTCTTCTCTCCTCTTTTCGCTGTAACCATATATCAAATAAACGTTTATTAAATAACTTTTGTAGAAAGAGCTTTCTGAAAGTATCTCATCGAATTGTACGTAACAATATGGTACGAACAATACAATACTCTTTTGTTTTCACCTGTTCTTCTGTAGTGTATTAAAATTGGTGACTTTCTTGACGTATTTTCATATCTTCATGTACAAACGCTATCTCCGCTATTGAGAGAAAAGATTTCTACCGTTGTACAGTAATCGATGCGAATTCACTATAATTCTGAAGAAGCAGAGATAAACGATTTAAAAAGTGTTCTATTTTATTGTATTGCACTTGTGTCCTCTGTTCTTTTATATATGTCGAATGCGATATCTATGTTCACATCTTGTTGCGCATGTTCGACACTTTGAACTAAAGTTGTTATTTTTCTGTTAACCCTAACACTCGGGGAACAATAAACTGATTGAAAAAAAAAATTTGGTTAGCTCTAAGTAATTGTATTCTTTTCATTTAGAATATATTTCAAGAAAAACTGCTACGGTAAGATTATTTTAGAAAAATCCAGTTTATTCTATTCAGATTAATCGCAACAACAATTAAAAGGATAAGAATCAATTTAAGAAAGTCAATTCTATGATTTCCATATAGATAGATGTCAACAACTTCGATGATAAGTATTATTTTAAGAAATAGGAATGGAATATTTATATTTACAAAGAAAAGACGAATAGAAAGCCATTCCATTCGTCGATGATAAGAGGTGTATGTGAATAGAATGATAATTGACATTGTATACGACCGTCTGCAATAGTCGTAATTATTCTCGTGAGTTTCCTAGAAATTCGTAGCAAACTCCTGTCAAGAGTCCCTGAGGATTCTTTTAGAAAGAGTTGACCAGGGTTTCTAAAAACACTTTGAAGTAATAGATCCTTCAATTAACAACATTCGAAAAGTCTTTTAAGATTATACGAAATACACTAATGTATAAATTCGAAGAATTAAAACTGTACTATTCATAATATTTCCACATTGTTGGATATACAAAACATCACGTACAACATAGCTAATCCTATTTTATGTATTTATTTCGAAAAGATCACACGTTACAGTTTAAAAAGAGCAAAATTTAAATGATTCTATATTGGTGATTTCCATGGAAAATGTTTTCCTTCAGTATCCAGATACAAAATTTGTTCTACAGCATTAGTGCAAATAATTTTTCCGGAATCACCATCAAGTAAAATTAATTTTGGAATTCCAGTAACATTAAATTTTTTTAATAGTTCTTCGTTTTTCTTTCGTTCTTTGTATTCTAATGCTAGCCAAGGCATATTCTTATAGTAATCACTAAATGTTCTTTCATCATTATCACAACTTATAAAAATAATTCTGAATTTTTTTTCTTTATGATATTCATTATAAAGATCACTTAATAGTGGAGTAAAAGCACGGCATGGTGGACACCTAAGAAAAAATAGTCGAATAATATTTAATTTGAAAAAAGAGAACAAATTAAACAAACCGATGAGCACTAAAATAAAGACCAATTATTTTTCCTTTATATTTCTTATTGCTAAAATCAACTTCTTTATTTGATTTATCACGAATATGTCCATCAAATAATTTTGCGACACCAGCCATAAGATTAAGTTTTGAGTATGTATAATCGCGAGAGAGCAAAGTATAATAATGATTTGCCTTTTTATTTTTTACTGAGGACTATTGCCTTTTTTTTCTCGTCTCCTACCTTGATAGTGAAAAACAAACGAAAAAAATATTTATGCATCCATATGTGGTCATGAATAAGATATTTATTTTGTGGCTTTACTTATGTTTTATATCGTTTGTTTTGGTTTCGATCATGGTTAAACGCACTTTATGAAGAATAAGTATATGAAAGGACATTGAATGAATCAGATAAGGCTTGCGACGAGAAAAATCCAAGTTGACATTTACTTTTATGATTTCAAAGTTCATTATTTGATTATACAATAATGAATCGTTTTCATATGAATAAAAAACCTTCTTTTACAGGCTGAAAATTAGTTAGATAAAATTAAATACGATAAATTTTAAAAAATCTGTTTTGAGACAAATTGTTATCGATCGTTGCAAAACTGCATGTAATAAATTTATGTTCAGAAAAGCTGCTCTTATTAAGCATAAAAAAAGACTAAAAGCAGTTTAGAATTAAAAAAAGTAAGTTCCTTACATTGTAATTCAAGTTTACTTCAGATTTAACTTTGTATACCCAAAATACAAAATAAACTATTTTTTTTTGTAATGTAGTTTATTTAAAATCTAAATTATCAGGATTCAACTTATAATAGAGCAAAATTTTGATACAAAAAATATTCAAAGTGTTCAGATTAAATTATTTTGATTCACTTTGCACATCTTAATCAGTCGTCAAAGATATAAATCAGCAGTTCTCGTTAAGAAGTAACCAGCAATACACTTTTTATTTTCGTGTACTTTCCGATCAAAGGCGAAAGCTTATAAAATGTGTACAGGCAGCGTTTTTTTTTATGCTCGTGAATGTAACACTCGGAAGTGCTTACATGATAATACAAGGAAAAAGACTAATATTTATGCATTAAGCACAACAAAATTGCAATGAGTTTTACAGTTGTCAACAATATCATTGTACAGAGTATTGACTTTACTTATGCGGATGTAAGAGAGTAAATGCAGAGGCAAAGAAAAACAAAATCATAAAAAATCCAGACATTAGAGAAAAAGTAAGTAAACGAAAGAGAGAAGAGATAGATAAGCGAAGAAGGACGCTCTTAAGCGTTGCAAGGACAGAAAAGCAAGAAAGAAAAAGAAAAAGACAAAATATAAAGAATGAAAGGAGAAGGATGCTCCGTGCTCTTTTCTTTCTCTACAGCTACTTTATTTTCAATAAATAATATCGATTTTAACCCTTTAGTTACAGAGCTTGTGCAATGATAACAAAAAATATAAGTTTATTGGTAGAAACAAGAAATTGAGTCATATACATCAAAGTGAATCAACAAATTGCGTTAGGCTTCAACCAACATTATCGAATTCTGTATTTTTAGAGTTGTTCAAAACCTTGCAAAATCAATTGCGTAGCTCCATGACTAACCTTCTTATTCGATATCATAATATAGATCTAATAAAATTCAACGTCTGATGTTCTGTAAGATCAGAGCTTCAGCAGTAATCGCAACTTTCTAGTTATGACTGTTGTTCTAGAATCATATGCAATTTTACAGATGTCTATCGGATTTCACAATGTTTTGAACGATTTGGGATATAGATAGTCTATGATTTCTCATAGGCCACTAAATCCACAATTCCTTCTTTTCCACATGTCATAGACTTTCACTGATATCATGGTATAATATTAAAAGAATAAGGGAAAGAGAGAAGGTTTTATAAGTTATCATATGTATAAAAGCTTAGGTGTGTGTGTTAGAAAGGCCGAAGAAAAAATGTCGAAAGTATCGATGTTAATACCCTGTATCAGAACGGTAAAAAGTTTATTTTATTCAACAAGAAGATACATAAATATTTTGATAATGAGCATTAGCTGTAAAACAAAATAAGTGTATAAAGTTCGAAAGTCTTGTGTTAATATTAAGTTCATTTTTTCTTTGTGACCAATAATGATAAACCATTCAATAATTCTTCAATATTAATGTATTTATTGATATATCGTTTATTTAGAGTATCGATTCTTTTTTGAATTGAATCAGCTGAATTTCATTTAGGTCACCGTTGAGCATCTGTATTGGTTTGAACGTGCTCGTTCAATACGTCGATTTAGTCTGTTATGAAATTCTAGACATACAGATCGTAACCTAACGTTGAAAGAGAAAAGTCCTATATACCTTCACAATTATTATTTGTTCGATATTGATAACCATGTATATTCAGCATTTCTAATGGTACATCAGTCATCCAATATCTATTAAAATATAAAAATAATTAACGAAATTCTTTCTTTACTCTTGTATTTAATACTGCACGTAAATTTTAAAATGAGCTTTCAACTTCGGCTTACTTCAGCAGATATCGCTGGACTTAAATCGTTTTCGAAATCACTAATTATCCGTTCAAGTTTAAATATTGGATTCCTTGATGCAGCAACAAATTTTAATTCTTGAAATAATTGTTCATACATTATTTTATTTGGATCAGGTAAAAGGTGCCGTCCATTAATATGGATGAGCTATCAAATAAAATTTCAAGTTCTTTTGAACTGCCCAGAAAGTAGCATTCTTTTTCTACGAGAAACTAGCATGTCACAAATCAAGAAATTTTCTCCTTTCGATGTGGTATGGTAAGAATCAGAAATATTGAATGAAGCAGAAGTACAAAGAATAGGTGTTGCAGGGATTTCGGGTGCAAATCGAGCTTGTATAATTTCTTCGTCGTATATTTTCGAAATTGGTGCTGTTTCGTTCACGACATGCTCTTTGACAATATCTCGGAAGTGTTTGACTTGAACATCTTCTAGTTGAGGAAGACGATTATGTTCACTACTTGAGTTCAAGAAATTATTATGGAGATCAGTATGGACATGAACTTTACAGTTCTTGGTTTTACAAATTCAATATTATTTGGACAATTTTTGTTTGTTCGTTTTTTAAATGAAACTATCTTGCACCAGTAGACGATGACCTTTGTTCGAATGAGCAATAGATATGGTACTTGTAGTAACGGACATAATACAATCAAAGAATCAAATGATAACAGTGTAAAATTGTGTTTCAGCATGGTGTCCCAAAAGTCGTGTCCACTTAAGAAATGCGTATAATTCCATTACTAAAACAAGCTTAATCTAATCTTTTTTTTTATTTGAAAGAGGAGAACATAAAGTTTTTTTTGGCTAATTCAAAGCTCATAAATACTGTTCAAAAGTATTGCCTTTAACTTCAATACAAAAATGTAGACGTTTCACAATTTCTAAAAAGACATCACGTAACATTTGTTTTTTTATTATTTCGATTTCTTTCGTTATTCTAGTCATTAAATCATCCAGATCTTTTACAAGTGTTTTATAGATTCTATATATCTTTAAGGTCACATTAATGAAAGTTTTGATGTCAATCCTAAACTCTAGAATTTATTATTGGGTCTCGCTCGACTCATAATAAATTGGGTACTGATAACAGGCATCATTTTTTGTAACATTTCATTTTTGTTATTGATCTCTGTAGCAAGTTCGATAAAACTCTCCGTTAATCAGCTATTTTGCTTGCGAGCGGAATAAGAGCTGACTACACTATATAAAAACACAGTGATTATCCTATAATAGTAACAGCGATAATATTAAAGATAATTCAGTTCTTCTGCGTATCTTTCGATCAAGTTGCTGGCGCACTTATCAAGATATCACCGTTTTCAATGATTTTACTTGCTGTTTTAAATACTATCTGAACAGGCGAATCGAGCAGCTATTTGCTAGTTGTATCACCAAGATTAAAATTATTATTTGAACATTCTTTGACATTCTATTCCTATTTCGTGTCTAAACTACCAATTTTGAAAGTCATATTTAAAAGACAACAAAGAATACGTGTTGATATTGATTTGTACTATAATAAATTTGTTTTCTATTCGTATGAAATAATCTCTAAAGCTTCATTGTTTTTTCGATAGTGGATAAGAAGAGAATGAGAACATTCTTATTTTTCTTATCAAATGAAAAGCATCACAGTCAATAATTAATTATGACATGTTTCTTTTTCTTGTGAAATGAAACAGATATCGTATTATACAAGCAAGCGAACATATTCGGTGACGCTCATAGAACATAACTGAACTGGTTTATTGTTGCAGAAAAGTATTTTTCAGTCAAAAAGACTATTCATCTATTTTTGTACATGAATGCACAGAAACTCATATGTTTGTACTGTTCAACGATTTAATGTATTTATAATTTATTTGAAGATGAACGAACTATCGTTTAATCCGATAGAGAATCAAATTCATTTAATGAAACTCTACAGTGAAGGTTATTACGTGATCGATGATGTTACATATAAGAACATGAGCGCTGTCATTTGTTGATAACAACATTGAATATGTTCATTCAATAATTCATTTGAATGTGACTATCCAAATTTAAATTTTCGTATTATCGGATAGATCGATTAAAGTGTGTGATAAGACTGAGTTAAATTATAGCTAACAACACACTATATTGTTCAAAGACATTGTAATGTAAAAAAAATGAAGTATTTCATTGATATATTATAACGTGTATTGTTCGTATTATTATTGAAGATGATTATAAAAAAAGAAGTTGCATATATGTAAGAGTAGTGGAAGCGTGACAGGAGAAAATTTCTTTTCAAAAGTAGTATACAAGCGAGCGAACAATTACACTCATTATCTCGTAATGTTTCACTATTTTTAATCGTTTCAATCATTTTTGAGAAAGCAACCATTTTTTTTATTCATTCAAATAATCTCACAACACGAAACGACAAGCCACTCTCATCGTTATTCAATGTGTTGATTATTCTCTTTCGTTCATCTAATTAATTTGTATATGCTTTACTCTTCTTTCGTGTCATCAATTATGTTCAAATCGATAATTGTTATATGAATGTCAAAACAAAGATAAGTTAAAGGAAATCATTCATGATCGAAAATTCAAACACATATTGTGTTAGTTTTGTATGTAGTTTATGTGATAAAAAAATCATACTAGAAAAAAAAGTACCAACTTTATTTATTGACAAATTTCTATTTTTTATATTCTTGCCAGTGATAAGAGAAAAAAGAAACTGATCTTGTCCATTTATCCTAGCAGATTGACTCTCATTGCGATCGAAAAATATATCATTTATCTGGCAGCTGTAACAGCGAAGGAAATTCATTGTTCAATACTACCGACTGTCTTTTATACATGATTGAACAAGCATTCATATTACAGTGATTGTACAAATAATATTCCAGGAAGTAGTTTTGCTTTTTAACTGTTTATAGACTTTATAGATACTTTTTTGATGCAATCAGAAATAATTTTTAAATATTTTTTATAACAATTGTTGATCTTCCTATTCCCGTTAAAAAATGATGTTTTTTTTTCAGAAAATCAGGTTAAATTTCTACTTTACAAGAAATCATGTATTTTCAGAACATTGTCAGTTTATTTAATTATTAATAAAAATTTGAAAATGTTTGGTTTTTTCCTCACTTGACCTTTTTAAGTGACAATTTAATTCAAATCTCTGGCGTGGTCAATGTTGTTAAGATTGATGAATCCATACGATGAGAAGTGTAGCAGAATGTATAAGTCTATGTGTTTTCGGTCAATTAATCGTCTTTCTGACAAAATTTTAACAAAAAAGATAATTCTTGTTACAAATGTTCAATATTTTACACACAAGTTAGTTCTTGTTGAGTGAATAGCAGTATGTTCGAGCCATTTATACAAGGGGAAACAGCTGATTATTTGATTAGATATGATTTTAAGTGATTAGCAGTGATTAGTCTTGATTAGTAGTGATTAGCCTTGATTAGGAGTGATTAGAGATGATTAGGAGTGATTAGGGATAATTAGGAGTGGGCATGCAACGGTGACGAATAATCGGTCGACCGGTGAATTGGTGAAGCGGTAATCGCTTAGACC